GTTTGTCATCATCGTTCGTAGCTCGAGCACATCTGATCTGATTTGTTATCTATGCGGCAAATTTATAACATCATAAAATGCGTTACGATTTTGAGAACTGATTACTGATTATCTTATCACCGGAGTAAACAAACAACGCAACTTGTAGGGAAGGCAGGGAACAACTCCAAGGTCAAGATAGTTTTTGTGCCTCAAGCCTCCAGTGAGAGGCTATAAATAAACGTCCTGTTTTGTAACAAAATGGTCGCTTGTATCTTTAATGCCGACAAAAGGTTCTGTACCGTATTACGATGTTTTTGGAAAGCATCCATTCATACATTACAGTACTAAAGTTATTTAAATAGGAATTTTATTGACTCTTGTCTAGTATTATAATATATTCCACTGAAAGTAGGCCTATTTGACTTAACCGTGTTTTGTGTTTATTTGTGAATTTTCTATAAATATGAAAAAGGAGATAAGAGTAGTTTATTTTATAAATAATACAAGTATGGCTTCAAAATAATGATTATATAATTCCAAATGAATAGCACTTCATTATGTTATGATTTTAGGGATTGCCCGTTTTATCCGTCCTTTTGAGTTATCCGACCTAGGTCCGGTCCCATTAGGGTCGGTTAAGAGGGGGTCTACTGTATGTGGCTACATAGTTTTGCCATAAATATGAATCTGCTACTTACTGTCACAACTGTACTTTGAATGTAAAAATTATCATATGATAAGCTGACTTTTGGACTGTTTGTAAATGTTATATTTGATTTTTATTGTAGTTCTTTCTTAATACAAAAGTGTTTAATGTTATAATCTCTTCTTTTAATTAACTTATTTTGTCTTAGTATTTTTATATAAGGCACAAGCCTTACTACCTTGAATTATCGTTGAACATTTTTGTATATTATAATAAGTATAATAGTTATTACATACCTGGATAATGCATTTTGATGTCTGCTCTGTTAAAAAAAAATTCCAAAGGACATGCAGTGTGTTTATAATATAAACTTTTTAATCATAATAAAACTAAGGAACATTTTTCAATATTAATCTTCTTGACTATTAATTAAATCTATATCGATTTCTTTGAATATAGACAAATTCACTTAGAAAAACACATAGAGATAATGTCATCATCCAAATTGTAAAATGCTAATTCTATTACAAAATCTCTCTGAAAACAACATTTGTTGTACGGTATAGTATTTTTTTGGTCGATTCCTTGGTCTTTATTTGGTTCTAGTACTATTTCAACATCATATGGCCGCATTACCTGCACGGGTTAACACTGGGGTTTTCAAATAAATGCCAACTTTTGTGAAGGTTCGGCCTGTGCCACAATTTCACCAAATCAAATTGCGCAATACTCCACATTGAATGCACCCATCGTTCATTGGTCATATGCTGTGTAATGCAATCTCATTTAAAAGTGGTCATCTATACACAGGAATAACTTCATGTTCATCCGATGCTCATTTATTCTTATTCCATTAATATCGTGCCAAATCTGGCGCCTGTTGTTCTCATTTTGAGAAACAATACCTCTGCGTGGTAGTCTTCCGACGTTATACATTATTACTGTGCAAAAGAACAATCCATTGAATAGTATTAAGTTAAGAGAGAAATAAAGACAACGAGGCTTTAAATAACCGGTTTTATCAATTTGTATTTATTTCTCCATTGAATAAATGTAACGGAAGTTGCCTCAACAATGTTTACAATATTTGACCATCCTATTACATAAATATATTACTTAATTTAATCTTCAAATGATCTGAACATTTTAACTTTCTTCGCGGAGAATTCTAATTTAACTATCCTATTGACACCAAGTAAATTAATATAGGCCTATTTATATTCACTGTGCTGTATATAAAAAAATATCCATTGAGAAACAAACAATTACACGTAATAAAAAACCTCACTAGTCCGCTGCATTATGATAGCTGAAAATTGTCTGAATAAAAACCGCCAAGCTACAAGATACAGAAGTTGGTACGCCTGCAGCTCCCTCCACAGCTGCGCGCGCTGCTGGCGCTGCCGCTCACCACATCCCCACATAAAAGACGACCAAGTGGTTTGTCGGTCATGTCCATTGAAGAGCAGTTGGTTTCTCGTATATAATAATTTAGTTTTACAGGCCGGCCAACTGGACTGACGATGAAATAACTTGTCGACGTACTGGTTTTCAGTATTTATCTATTTAATTTAAAAAGACGGTCTAGTGGGCAAACGACCAAGTATCTTGTCGGTCGACTGGTGGCCCCCCAATTGCATTAGGTATCAAAATTTAAGAAATAACTATCTGCTGAACATGCCAATGATAATATCAATGCCCCAATGTGCTTGTAGATGCGCTTCTTGTTTTGAAGTTACACAAAAATAACCTCTGTCATCACCAAAGATGTCAATAGCAATATGAAGTAGTACTTGGACCATTCAGACTGTGTTGTTGTCAAATTATTCATATATACTTCTTCAGCCTCCGTTAGCCGACAATGCTAGATAATAGTTGAGTGTTCCTTGTTTGTATGCCAGATTCTTTTTTAAGCTGAGTTGTACGTGATGAAGAATTATGTGTGTGTGTGTTTGTGTCCCATTGCCCTTTGATTCTCAAGGATCATTCATTGGCCAATTATTTATCACACCCAACTTTATAACTCCTTCCTTATATTATAAACTTGGAAAAAATACTATTTTATTATAAAAATAGTTTTTAGTGGACACTTACATAATAAGGATTAGTAGAGAGTAGTAAAATGACAAATCAGAGATGTGGCTTACAGAAAGAATCCATACATCAAAGTCAAATTCAAATAATCTAATTCATTAGACACATTCAAATGTGTACATTGAATGGCCATCCACCATTTATTTTAATTAAGGTCTGCCTCAGACACAATCATTCACAGCCTCTACTGAGATGAGATTCAATCTCTTGTTCAATGGTGCTGGCCAATGAGACAAGCCCTTGCACTTCTCAGCCGCATATAAGACCTAACAGTGTACTGCACTATCATTATTGGTATACGGTATACCCTACCAACACTCTAGGAGTCTCCAACCTACGGCCTGCGGGCCACATCCAGCCCACGAACAGATTTTAACCGGCACACAAAGGCCTACTGGGAAATTATTATTTTTATATTATCGGTATAAATTGATGATCGTCAAAGTTGCGGCAACACCCGTAAGTAAATGTTGCTGTCTCAGTAATAATGCGGTCGGTATTCGCGATCATGACTTCTCTTGTAGGTAAATGTTGCAGTCTCCGTGATAACGTGATTGTCATTCGCAATTGTGGCCTCACTCGTGAGCATACAGTAGACTCCCTCTTATCCTGGGATATGGTTTTTCCAGTTAAACCGACGTCCCCAAAAACTTGTTAAAACGGACCGTTTAAATGCATACTGTATACAGTATTTGACTTAAATTTAGGAGAGCATTGTATTTAGACACGTGATCACTTCAGATCACTCAAATCTTTCCCACGAGAACAGTCGTTTCAGTACCGCCCACTTCCTGCTGATCTAGTCCGGTTAAACCAATGTGCTGATAAAAATTTTCCGTTTAAAGAGATGTCATGTCAGCCGAGTGTAGTCCGGTTAAAAGGTGTCCTAGTCCAGATAAGAGGGAGTCTACTTTATTATTTGGTGGCTTTGGTGATACCGCGATCGACACTCACAGTCGCGGCAATAACTGTAAGTAAATGTTGTGGTCTCGGTGATACCATGATCTTCACTCATGGTCGCGGCAATACCCGTAAGTAAATGTTGTGGTCTCGGTGATAAAGTGATCCTCATTCACAATCGCGACACTCACGACACGTGCATATTTTGTGGTCTTGGTGATACCACGATCGTCTCCCGCCATTGGGACTGCACTGTGAACATCTCTTGTGATATCAGTAAAATTTCTGTCATGATCTCCATTGATCGTGATTTGCTTATGATGTTAAAAGAGAGCCCATGGAACGTTGTCAATGAATGGAGACTTATTAGTTATTGGTGATCATTGTAGTCCTTGGTCCATACCGAATTCAATTACGATTCTCGGTGCACAGGTTGGCTGGATACCTAGATGCCCTTTTTAAATATGTGTATAGTACATCTCTCACACTTTCCACGTTTTTCCTCAATAAAATGAAATTAGCTGTAAGTATGTGCCTAGTGATCGAGCTATCTTAATACAGATCTTCCAAGCTAAGTGAACCTGAATTGAAAACAATCCTAAGGATCAGGACAACAAACCTAACCCTGATTTGGCTGACCTTAAAATGGCAAATAAAAAATAATTTTCCCTAAAATGTCTGTTAATTTTAGCTTTACACTCCTTGTTTACTTATTTACAACTATTCTAATCGTCATTACAATTAAATGTTAAATCAATTAAACTTGGTAGTAGGCCTACATCGATAGTATTTGGTGTTGTGTCATCCTGTGTTTTCATCAGTCCTACTTAAAAACTTCCATTATGGACTTTATACTAAACTCCCCTCGCACTCCCCCTTCCATGCGCGCCGCTCTTCCTCTATCAGACCGAACAGCTGTGTCTTGAGCGAGTCTAAATTGCCTAAATTCCTTCCATTCGTTATCTAACCAAGGCTGTTTCCTAATAAAAGTATAAGATTTTGGTTGTGACTTTAGTTTAAAGGCTTTGGTTTTAAGGGTGTATTCAAAAACTGGAGCATGGCTCTATGAATTTTGTGGCTGTAAAATAAATTGTCATTTTAGTCCATTTTAATTTAGGTAACAGAGGTAGGATAACATTGTCATTCTCACTCTCAATCCCATTCTCGACTACGACCCTTGAGCTCACTTCAACTGGCAGGTGATCAGAACCTGGGCAACTGATAACCTTAAAATTGTTTACTACACCTAAAAAATCCATAGATACTGCAGCTAAATCAATTATTAGCTTCTTGACAATTATTTTCCATCCATTTTTACAATTAAATTATGACTAGTCTTTCACAGAATCAATTTTCATAGTTTTCCATCATTTTTCAGGTAACTCAAATGTTGTGGGAGCGGGTAGTAAGAGCCGATCCTGGAATTGTATCACCACGAAAAAGGATTTTGAGGGAGCTGGAGAAAGTGACTCTGGAAGACCAGAACAACTCAAAGCGTCAGCGTGCGCGGCCAAGTCCTGAGCAACCCAAGCCTTCAGCTGTCGGTAGCCACAGTATCACATCCATCCTGGCCCGTGAAGACGAACCTTCCTTCTTACGTAGTCTCCTGCGCTCGTCTCCTCCTCCTCCTCCTCCTGTTCACGCACCCACCATTCATCCTTTGTACCCTTACTCCTCACCTTCTCCATCATACGTGTCTCCTACCTCCAACTTCTACTCCCCTCTCCCTAGCTACCGAGGATCCCCCAGTGTTTGGGGCATGCATCATTACCCCCTGAGAAACTCTTACCCAGTCCCATCATTTACACCCGTCACTACGCCACCTTGGAATGTTCCTTACCAGCCAATTGACATTAAAAGAGAAGACTGCACTTCAGGTAAATTTTGTGTAATTATACTCTGTATGTATAAGCATTATATTTTTTTTTGTATTTACTAAACAATAAAATAAGAAAAACATTTTCCTATTTTCTCTCAGTACAGTATAGATCCCCATCTGTGGTGTATTGCAAGTCTCAAAGTTATTATTCGCTAGATTATTACCATATGAATTAAAAAAATAACTCGATCAATCTGTAAAACAAGTGTGTTTTACTGTAGATGTTGTATTTTCCTAATAGCAAATAAGTGTATTGAGCTTAAATGTAATTTCCCACATGGGGAATAAACTATTACCATAGGTCTTATGGTAAGACCTATACCCAGGACTGATTAACTTTTCGTTTTGATGTCTCCAGAGGCCAACAATACTATCTTTTCAAATTCATATACCTAAATGTTAGGGATGGACGGAATTGAATTTTTGGTTGGAGACGCTACGGGATTTTTATTTACTTCCCGATTTTTTGGGATGAGACGTGATATTTATTTCCTTCCCAATATTTAGGACGGGACAGTAGTTTTCCCCACACAAAAGAATTATTTGTTTAAAATTGTAGATTAAATATTCTTGCAGATAGCAGTAAAGAAATACCCCCGCCGCAGCAAATCTGCAGACTTAGCGAATTTTCATTTGCCTGGTTGGATTTTCACTTGTTTGGCCACACGGCTAGTTCAGCGCTGAGATGCGTTAGTTCTCCGACTCGCCATCACATGTCACTAGGACGTCAACTCGGGCTGCTTCTGTGCGTTTTTTTGTTTTTGATTGTTACTAGAAATCGTCATCACAGTCTAATATTAAGGGTAGTGATGTGTCGGTTCCGGTAAAAAAAAGAAATTTGGGTCAAATTTACACATTCTTAAATAGATTTTAAACACTTGCGTTTATTTTAAAATTACAAATCCTTCTGCTGGTAGCAGTACTTCCAACTCTTGATATTGAGTAATTGTAAGTTTGCACAATAATGCAATAATTGCATTGATAATCATGAAATCAACCGTATTTTATTTGATTTTCTAACTAAAATAACCACTAAAACTGACACGATAAAGCAGTGCCAAAACAAACGGAGTCTAGTCTGATATCATCATCCTTAGCTCATATGTGTATTCATATTATACTAATTTAGTAATTTTACATATATCTTTGTGAAAATACTAAAATCATTTTGTGCGAATACTATTTGTCCAAAGGCCTTGTTATTATGGCCAAAAAATTTAAGTTTTTACAAATAGAAAAAATAGCCTGAATAATTCTTCCGTTTATTTTTAATTTAAAAGAAATTTTAACGATAAAAACGTCAAACAATTTATGTCTGCTTTACAACAGAGTCATGGCTTAATCCTATACTCTAATACGAGCAATGTTTGTATGTATGTATGCTTGCTTGCTTGCTTGCTTGTACCAAGATCTCGAAAACGGCTCCGACGATTTTCTTCAAATGTTGTAAATAGTTTATTTCTGGCCTAAAAACGAGTTTACTGCAGTTAGAACTGCCAACAAAAATCTAAATACGTAGAAAAATGAAACTAAAAATCACATTTTTTTAACATTAGTCTTATGGGTTGCTAGGTAACCATGTTGGCTGAATTAAATAACAAGGAAAAAGTAAACAAAAAACTTGTAATTTGTCTATCCACAGTACAATAGCAAAACAAAATACAGTACAAAAGGAAAAACATCAGTTGTTACTATTGAGCAAAGATTATACTGAAGATTACTAGATTCTATAGTCAAGGGTAGCGGTGTGTGGAGTGTGGGATCTGTTTATGACGATTAGATTACGGTATCTGCAATCCTTAAATGCTATGGAAAGGGAGGAAAACAGGTCCATGACATAGGAAGTAGTGAAGGAAGTAGTAAAGGCGAGCAGTCTGGAGTGTGGGAACTGTTTATGACGATTAAATTAAGGTATCTGCAATCCTAAAATGTAATGGTAGGGAGGAAAACAGGTCCATGACGTAGGAAATGGGGAAGGAAGTTGTAAGGCTAGCAGTGCAGAGTGTGGGGACCGTCTGTGGCATTTATGTATCTGCAATTCTAAAATAGTATAAAATACCCCCGCCGCAGCAAACCTGCCGACTAAGCGAATTTCCATTTGTCTGAATTGATTTTCAGTTAAATATATTTTAATAACATTAGGTTTAACGAGTACCTAGGTTTGCTGCTACAAGGAAACTAATAAAGTGTGTTTTTGAGTAAAATATTGATAGCTTAGTACAAAATAAATAAATTTGCCAAGTTTGATCAAAATATATTCATAAACAAGCAAACTACAACATTTGACAATATTCTCCATAAGAATAACATGGGAATTTTAAATTTACAATTTTTTTAATTTTCTCCGTTACTAATAATCGAACAAAAATACTTGTATATACTAAATTATTTGTTTTTTTAAGCTCTTTAAAAAGGTCTAAGAGAAATTGGGAAATTTTGTGTTTTGAGGGTCAAAAGTGAGATAAACCAATTTTTACCCCATAAAACCCCCCGTAAAGCCCCGTTCCCATGGTCCGATCGTGCTGGTTCGCGAACTCATTCAAGTTTATCCCGCTTTACACCTTTAAACCAAATTTCATCAAAATCGGACAAAAATTACTCAAGTTATCGCGTTCACGGACGTATATATATATATATATATGTCTATATATATATATAAGTCTATATATATATATAAATCTATATATATATATATATATATATATATATAAATTTGAACGAATAGTGTTTTTGGCCTCTGGGGACATCAAAATGAAAAAGTAAATCGGTCCCGGGTCTAGGTCTTACCGTGCCACCTACAGTAATAGCTACTTCCCTATAGGGAAATTCGCTAAAAGGAGGGCAAACAGGTCTACGACATAGGGAGTGGTGAAGGAAGTAGTAAGGGTGAGCAGTCCGGAGTGTGGGAATTGTTAATAACGATTAGATCAAGTTATCTACAATCCTAAAATGCTATGGGAAGGGAGGGAATCAGGTCCGCGGCGTAGGAAGTGATGAAGGAAGTAGTAAAGGCGAGCATTCTGGAGCGTGAAAACTGTTTATGACGATTAGATTAATGAATCTGCAATCCTAAAGTGCTATGGGAATGGAGAGAAACAGATCCGCGACGTAGGAAGTGATGAAGGAAGTAGTAAAGGCGAGCAGTCTGGAGGGTGAAAACTGTTTATGACGATTAGATTAAGGAATCTGCAATCCTAAAATGCTATGGGAATGGAGGGAAACAGGTCCGCGACGTAGGAAGTGATGAAGGAAGTAGTAAAGGCGAGCAGTCTGGAGCGTGAAAACTGTTTATGACGATTAGATTAAGGAATCTGCAATCCTAAAGTGCTATGGGAATGGAGGGAAAGAGGTCCGCGACGTAGTCCGGAGTGTGGGAAATGTTTATGACGGTTAGAGTTATTTGTAAGTTTGATAGAAAATTTGATAAATTTGATAGAAGTATACAAATAGAAAAAATAGCCTGAATAATTCTTCCGTTTATTTTTAATTTAAAAGAAATTTTAACGATAAAAACGTCAAACAATTTATGTCTGCTTTACAACAGAGTCATGGCTTAATCCTATACTCTAATACGAGCAATGTTTGTATGTATGTATGCTTGCTTGCTTGCTTGCTTGTACCAAGATCTCGAAAACGGCACCGACGATTTTCTTCAAATGTTGTAAATAGTTTATTTCTGGCCTAAAAACGAGTATACTGCAGTTAGAACTGCCAACAAAAATCTAAATACGTAGAAAAATGAAACTAAAAATCACATTTTTTTAAGATTAGTCTTATGGGTTGCTAGGTAACCATGTTGGCTGAATTAAATAACAAGGAAAAAGTAAACAAAAAACTTGTAATTTGTCTATCCACAGTACAATAGCAAAACAAAATACAGTACAAAAGGAAAAACATCAGTTGTTACTATTGAGCAAAGATTATACTGAAGATTACTAGATTCTATAGTCAAGGGTAGCGGTGTGTGGAGTGTGGGATCTGTTTATGACGATTAGATTACGGTATCTGCAATCCTTAAATGCTATGGAAAGGGAGGAAAACAGGTCCATGACATAGGAAGTAGTGAAGGAAGTAGTAAAGGCGAGCAGTCTGGAGTGTGGGAACTGTTTATGACGATTAAATTAAGGTATCTGCAATCCTAAAATGTAATGGTAGGGAGGAAAACAGGTCCATGACGTAGGAAATGGGGAAGGAAGTTGTAAGGCTAGCAGTGCAGAGTGTGGGGACCGTCTGTGGCATTTATGTATCTGCAATTCTAAAATAGTATAAAATACCCCCGCCGCAGCAAACCTGCCGACTAAGCGAATTTCCATTTGTCTGAATTGATTTTCAGTTAAATATATTTTAATAACATTAGGTTTAACGAGTACCTAGGTTTGCTGCTACAAGGAAACTAATAAAGTGTGTTTTTGAGTAAAATATTGATAGCTTAGTACAAAATAAATAAATTTGCCAAGTTTGATCAAAATATATTCATAAACAAGCAAACTACAACATTTGACAATATTCTCCATAAGAATAACATGGGAATTTTAAATTTACAATTTTTTTAATTTTCTCCGTTACTAATAATCGAACAAAAATACTTGTATATACTAAATTATTTGTTTTTTTAAGCTCTTTAAAAAGGTCTAAGAGAAATTGGGAAATTTTGTGTTTTGAGGGTCAAAAGTGAGATAAACCAATTTTTACCCCATAAAACCCCCCGTAAAGCCCCGTTCCCATGGTCCGATCGTGCTGGTTCGCGAACTCATTCAAGTTTATCCCGCTTTACACCTTTAAACCAAATTTCATCAAAATCGGACAAAAATTACTCAAGTTATCGCGTTCACGGACGTATATATATATATATATATATGTCTATATATATATATATAAGTCTATATATATATAAATCTATATATATATATATATAAATTTGAACAAATAGTGTTTTTGGCCTCTGGGGACATCAAAATGAAAAAGTAAATCGGTCCCGGGTCTAGGTCTTACCGTGCC